ACGGGGGATATATAGTATCCCGGTGTTGCACCTGAGCTGCCACACACTCTGGAATATATTTGTACATATATAGCCGTGCCATATACGTATTTTGGCCAGGTGTCATTTGGCGCAGCGGGTGCTCCACCGAAAATCCCAGCGGGAAATGCAAAACGCTCGCCACTCTTAATGAGCGCCTGGAGAGAGGCACGAGTTTTCCCCCGCACACAATTTCCCGGGCTCCTCCTGTTTTCCTCCTGAGCCTCACGCGATAAACGGGCGTGGCCCGTCAGTTGTTCTTTTATTTTCTGTTTGGTTAACTCCCAACTAATTTTTTGGCCTGCACATTTATCAGTTCTCCGCTTCTCTGGTTTCTCCCTACTGGGTTCTCTCGGCCATTTCCCCAGTTGAAATTTAATATTTTTTTCTCCGGCCGAGCAAACAGTAGCCGCTACTCACCTTGACAAGCTGCTGACACCTTGAATGAACTTTAAAAAAAAATGTGAGAGAGAGAGAAAAAAAAACAACACGAAGAATTTAAAAACAATTTTAATTGCACTTTAATAAGCACACGGCGCGGCTGCTTTAATATGCCCAATTCCATCGGACATTGGGGGGCTTTAAGAATACCTTGAAATGCATTAATTAGGTTAGAGAGCTTCAACTTTAAAAACATTTCAGTTAAATTAAGCACGAAATGGAATATTTTGTATTAAATGAATAGCCTTTTTCGGAGTGAGTACTTTAATCAGGTCGAGGCTTTTGCAATCGCATCGATACTTAAAGTTGCTTCCATTTTCTTTAAAGTGTTCGTTAAAATATAAGTTTAAGACCCTGCTTTTGGGGTCAGCCAAAATTTAAGACATCCATTTTAAATACTTTTTTTTAGCTCAGTACACTCCTTATTTGTTAAAGTGTTTTGAATTTAACCATTTAAAATAATAAACACTTTGGAATGCAAAATTCAATTAAATTAAATTTGTTCAACAGTACATTAGATTTAGTTATTAAAGTATATTAAATTCAGGATTTGTTCGTTTAAAAAATGTAAAATAATTTGATTTCAAACAATATCAGCATTTTGCATGTTTTTAACGAACTTGCTTTCCCATGATTATCACTCCTCTTTATTATTATCGGAGACTCTTTCTTGGCTAATCAGCTAATCAGACCTCCAATATAGCTGTATTTATTCGTCTCATCTGCAAACGGAAATTCCAGGCATAATTCTCTAATTTCTCAAATCAGCGAGCTGTTAATTAATGCAAAAAAGGCCAATCGCTAAACGGAGATGGGAATTTACCTGGACGGAGGCAGGGAGTTGTTTTGATATCTGCCAACTGTCTTCTAGACCAGACTGTGGCACACAGACACAGATTTCAAATGAGGCTGGAAATATCAAGGGCGGGGGACTGGAGGCGACACAAGGCGCAGGCGCACAGCTGTCTTGGGTCCGAAATCTCAGGTACGGGCCAAAACTCCGGCCATAACATAACATATTGATCTAGTGCCGGGGACTGAAGTGCAAAATCAGATAAGCTTTGGGATTTACGTTTCTGTCTGCTCTGCCTTTTGGGTCTTTCGGGCTCAGCTCGGGAATTTATGGATTGCGCCTAAATAACTTTATCACACCCCAAGCAGCGGCAGGGATTCCAAAATAAAACTCACCGGAAACGGGAGGGCTAAAAAATGTCAGCCAGGGACAACAGGAATTTGGATAGGAACCCGTAAAATATAGATAACGTGTGTCTGCCATTGGCAAACTAATGGGTGTGGCCCTCTTCTGACGTCACCAATGCCAAATAGTTTTTAGAAAAGGTTTTTGCTATATTTCAAGCTTAACTTGAAGGGAGCAAAACGATAAACACTGTAAACAGTTTGTTCATACTTCTTATTTGATCTCCAAATTTTTGTTTTATTATGCTGGATACAAAAAAATTCTTATATTTATAACTCTTTAATTATATTCACTGAATTGTTATTAATAATTGCTTAACAAAAGATGTATCGAAAACCAATATTGCTTGACAATTTCAATACATACTAATTTAAGACTTAAGACAAAAATCAAACAAATATTCAATCAATTTTAACTACAAAACTACTAAAATACTACACAAAATCAATACGAAATTCCATAAAAATTCAAACGAAGCACGCTTAGAATGGTCATATAATTAATTTTATGGCACTCTGAACCGAATCTCGTTACGTATACGAAACGTCTTTTCCTTTCACTGAAGTTTTCTATAAATAAACAAGAGATCTGTGATCTATGGCTAACTAACCAGCTTCATCTGAAAGCTCGGTTCCATTCTCTTCGGTCGTTCGCAGACAACTTAACCTTATATGGCCGACTATTGACACTTTACAAATTATTCCAAAAATTATTTCAACTTTTTTTGTGCATTGGCTAAACATTTGCCCAATCAATTTTTCACAATTAACTTTCGAAAGGTTTGGGTTTTCAATTTTGTGTTTATTCATCGATAATACAAATTAACATACGATGAATTGGGGCTGGCGAGCAATTTAAATGGAATTTATATAAATTAGTTTAGGGAACATGTACAAGGCAAAAAGCCGTGCTTCCCCCACTGTTTTTATTCAAATTTTTAGCTAATTGGTAAACTATAAAAACAAAAATCGTTTGGTTTTTATAGCCGCAAATAATTGTCAATTTTTTATGGTCTTCAACATAAAGTTGTACAACTTTATGACCACCGCGAACATGAATAACTGAAACTAGTTCAACGCCCTGATGTATGCAATGATTTTCGATTTAATTTTCAATAGAGCATAGAGAGTAAACAAAAGCTCTGATACTTCAGTTGGGGATTTCTTTTTGTTTCTACTATATTTAATTAATTTAACGACTACTTGAGAAGTTAGCAACGACATGTTGACTGGATGCCTGGGCCTGTGACATGAAAAACTCATTAAAATGTTTACAGCGCTCAAAAAATCAACAAACAAACAAAACTCGCCTCGGAACTGAGTGAGCTAACAAAAGAGAGAGGAGCTGCGAGATACTAGAAGGGAAAACAAAAACTAAAAAATTGTTTTCATTTTAAATATCAACTTGAAATTACAAAAACTCTAACTTTAAGTTTGGTCAGCCAACTCACACACTCAGCAACAGTGTACATAGATAAAGGGGAAAAGTTTTGTGAAAAGTTTTCAAATTAAAATGTTCAGACATTAAATATTTAGCAGCGCTTCACGGCCGACATCTAATTTGAATTTAAATTACAATTACAAAATTGCTATGCAATTTAAATGTTTTGCAGTTGGGTACAAATGCAGATATTGCATTATCCTGCTTCATTTATAATTCAATTTTCCCCGCACCATTGTGTTTGTGCTTATGATTATGATTTTTCATGTTTTCCTCTTTTTTTACGCATTTTTTGTTTGGTTTTTTTTTTGTGTTCTGCGGTTGTTCGTTTGGTTAGACAACTGTCAGCCGAAACATTTGTCACAATTTAGCATACAAAATAAAATTTGAATAAAATATGTTCCTCTTTCTGTCACACACAGGCAGCATTTTTTAATGACACTCTTGGTTTATGAATTCATAAAATGCATTATTGGTTAACAAACTTTTGTCTAGTTAAAAATTTGTCACATTATCGCATGAGATACATTTTTGATCATTTTCAGCTCGCTTTTTTCGGGCAATTGCTTGGTCGCGCTTAATTGCTCAACATTAAAATGTCATTCAACCGTTAATTGGCTTTTATATTATATGTAAAGTGTGCTTAAAATAAAATACGGCTATAATTTAAAGTTATTGCCATACAATAACAACAAATGACAGGTCGAGATTGGGTCTAAGCCCAATTCAAAAGTAGCAGTGATAAGTCGGCTTGCGACTTTTGGTCAAAAAGATTTGGTCTTAAAGATACAACATCAGAAAGTCTTTCAATATACAAAAGTTATTGGCCAATTTGACAACGGAATTGCGTACTAAAAATTATTTATGGATTATTCATTTTTATTATTATAATTTCTTTGTTTTTAATTGTTTATATATCAGCGCATATATTCTTTATCTCGTTATAAGGTTTATTTTTCAACCTTGTCCCCATTTGCAAGTTAAAAAAATTCAAGGCAAGAAAGAGTTCAACGCGTGCCTAACCCTTTTAATGGTTTTCATATAAAAATAACTTCAACCTTCATTACAAATAAACTTGACTAACAGTTCAAGATCTTTAAACTTGGAACCTTTAATTCCAAGCCTTGGTCGCTGATATCTTGTATCTTGCGGCTTAAAAAAATGTTTAATAAATCACCAAAACTAGTTTACAACTATGATTTGGATGCAATCATTTGTTAACACGGCTTTTACTCTTTTTATGGCTTTTTAATGTCTAAAACGGGCTTTCTTCGTGTATTTTCAACATTAACGAATCGAGAAAGTTACAGTTCAGTGACTACACTGGGCTCCACTCTTTTTTAATGACAATTTAATTTGCCAATTTTTATTTTGGGGACTACGACAATAGCCATAAATAAGTCATTAACTGCTTTAAATAGCTTTATTAGCGGTAAATGATTCGACACTCATGCTTGGTCAATGTAATGATATTAATTGGATTTGAAATGGATCGTTGAGAGCTCAAAAATAAATTTTAGTCCGTGGAAAAGTTTTTAAAACAGTTGAAATCGAAATTAAATTGTATGATGCTTTATTTTAATCTCTGAATAGCAGAAAAATTATCATTAAAGGGTAAAAGGTAATCATAATTAACTAAGAGTATTTAAAAACCCAATAGAAATAATAATACAATAGCTTGTAATATATAACAGAGGGAACAATTTACTGAACAGTATAACAATGACAGAATAGTATTTTTAATAAACAATTGTATCAGAAAGGCACAAAGGATTTATCTCCGCACTATAGAATGGTATCCCTTTGTTCTTTTTTGAAGATTTACCCTAGTAAATGACCGTGTTATCTCGAGTATTACATATCTTCAAGGATCGCAAGTAAGCCCCTAGATTCCGGTACTCACTTATCACATCGTGTCCATGACAATCCAAATCCAGGTGATGGTTCATCACCAGCGATGGCTGTAATCCAGTTTGATTGTGGTTGTGATTGTGCAACGGTAGCTGGTGAGCCAAATGGCCACCAATCTCTGCCATTACCATATATTTGGCTGACAGGACACTCGGCGAAGCACACTCGAGATTTCTGTGGGTTAGGGATCTTGAGAGCGAGCGCTTTTTGGGGCCAGACTCAAGAGGTATCCGGCATTGAGCAGGGATATTTGTAAGGCACTTGTACGGTTATTTATTCCATGAAGTTTTCGGTTAATTATTCTCGGTCACTAAGCACTGGGTTTACTGATTATATGGATGTATAAAACTGATCTGTGCACACGCGCGTTTTGTTCGAGGGATTTAAGAGTCTCGTCTTCTCGTCTTCCGAAAAGGCGACGGCAACGGCAACGGCAACGATTCGATGGATGTTCGCGAAACGACGGCTATACTACTATACTATATAGTGGCGATGACGACAACCGACCAACGACGATGTCTGGCGTACAAACATGCTCACTGCACGGAGACTGCTGAACGACTAAACCGGTCGTCGTTTTCCGTGCCGTTCGCCTCGGCCAGCCACTCACCCCGAAATGTATCTTGCAGATACTTCTGTTGGCCAGAGCAGTGCGACTAGATGGTTTTCGAGGGTATGCAGCTGCAACCGGTTCCGAGGTTTTTGTTTTTCGAATAGCCGACTACTACGATATCTGGGGAGTTCGAAACAGGAACAGGTGTTTTTGTCGCACTCGCTCTGTGGCTTGGCTTGCTTTTTTCCGCTCCGTCCTTGTCGCACACTAGTCGCATCTCTTTCCGCCCGACTCGGAGGGCCTTTTCTAAATGGCGGCGAAGCGGGCCAATCGGTTGGGCGGAGTGCGCATGACCGACTCCAGCTGTGAGATCCACAGTCCACAAATGGAGGCAGTCAGGAGGAGCAGGAGGTGGACTCGCATCCTCGCATCCCCGAATCCTCGTCATCCTCGTCTTCCTCTTCCTCCTCCTTTTGTTTTGCCAATTTCGCTTTTGGTTTTCGAAGTTTGTACTACAAAATGGTTGCACTTGTAAGCAAGCGCACCTACCTCTCGTTCACCCCTTTTTCTACCCCCCGGAATATTGTTGTAATGCGCTTGTCGAACTTTTCGGCTATAACCCCCCCGCTCCCTCCTTGGCAACACCCCCTCACCTGTCCCACCTGCCCGTCTTGACTTGGTTCTTGCGGTCTGAAGGCGTCTCGTTTTCGGGTGTGCTACAACATCATAATAATTATTGATCTTTTGATTTTGTCTTCTGGTTTTTCGGGTAACGCTTCAATCTCCGGCTCTGTTGCTCCTTCAAGGCCCTGTTGCAATTTTAATGACGCCCCCCCATACGGCAATTTATATATATATTTGGGGATGTGGGGAGTGGGGAGTGGGCGGGGGTCTGTGTCTGTGTTGCGGTTAGCAGTTCGTTGACTTGGCACCCAGTTGCCAACATTTGCTGGCCGATGATTTGTTGTAATGTCAGTTACCAGTTACCATCTACGACTCTTGGGGTGCACTCGAAAAAAATTATCTGTGCTGTCATAAAACATTTACGTTTATTTTCGATATAACAAAATTACTTCAGAAAATGAAAATATATTTTATTTTGCATAATAAAAAATCGTTACTTTAATAGTTAAATTAATGTTTGATTATAGTATCGCACTTCGTGTACTTTACACTTTTTTTAAATGTAAACATTTATATTTTCAAAAGTAGTGTTCCAAGTTAGCAGAAATGTTTTTTATTTTTAAAGCCTTCTACATTTTTTCCAGTTTTCTATTAAATGTAAATATACATATTGGTTTTTTGATTTAAATGTTTGGAAATGACTTATGAAAATCGAAGTATTATAAGTTGCCTTAGGCAAAATAAATTAAGAGCCATCAGAGATAGTAAGTTTCACAAAAATGAAATTTAATTAACAACAAGAAAACTAAAAGTTTGAATTGTATTTTCTATAGAAATTGATCTGGTCGCTGAAGTTCCCTTTATCATTTTTTCGAGTGCCTATACCCTCTTACTATTTTTGCCATTTTTATTTGACGTAGGGTATTTTGAAGGAGTGGCCAAACTGGGAATTGGAGCTGGTATGGGGTTGATGGCTGAGGGGGTGGCAATGCTGCCGCTGCTTCTGCTGTGTTGTATAATCAAGGTCATCGAGCTTCAGTTTCAGTTTGCCCGCTTGCTCCGTCCGGGACACTCATTCATAGCCGTGTCTCAGTTAGCCAGACGCCGACATTAGAACATACTTGTTACAGGGCCACCCCCCTCCCCCGCTTAGCCCGCTGCCACACCACCCAACCCCCCATACGCCCAACCACCCCCAATTGCGAGGCTTTCGCGCCATCTCCGTCGCACTCGAACGACAGCTGGCCAGCAGAAACAGCTGACTGATATCTGTGTGTCCGCGTGCGATGGTGTGTATCCGTGTGGGCCAACTGTGGGCAGCTGTGTGGGTGTGCGTTTACTGGCAACATGAATTCAAAATTTAATTAGGTCCCGTCCATTAATTGGGTTAATTGAAATGCCGGTAAAAGTCGACGCTTACGAATTAGGACATGTCACTCAAGCCACTGCGCATCGCATCGATATGGTGAAATATCGTTCAACTTGTTGGTTGAAATAGTTTTGTTTTGTTTTGTTTCGTTTAATTGAAATTGAGCGGTTAAGTATTTTAGCCATTGTTTAATGCATTTTCTGCTTAAGTTCTAGACTGATCTTAGCTGAAGGAAAACTTACTGCTACTGTCTTCGATTTAATTGCACAAGTTGCTGGCTAAACATGGATTAATTGTTGGTAGCTAATAAGTTTGGTGAAACAATATAAATTTATTGCTTCAGAAATAAATAAACAAAGTAGCAATTACAATAAATCAGTTGAAAAGCAATGTAATGGCTGTAATTCCAGCTTAAGTTATGAGCTGTTAATTATAAAGGCATTTAGATTTATATTTTTCTTATACTTCATATCAGATATTATCACTTACAATTAAAACAAGAAAGGAAAGCTAACTTCGGGCGGAGCCGAAGTTGAAATACCCTTGCAGAATATTCTGCAAATTATGTTCTCCAAAATAATTCATATGATGCATTCTTAATACTCATAAAAAATCCCAACTTCCTAACTTTAAAAACACCAAAGTTATGGCATTTCCGATCAATCAGTTATATGGCAGCTATAAGATATAGTCGTCCGATCCTTATGAAATTTGGTAGGTCGGATTAATTGGCCAAATATATAACCCATAGAAAATCCCAACTTCCTAACTTAACAAACACCAAAGTTATGGCATTTCCGATCAATCAGTTATATAGCAGCTATAAGATATAGTCGACCGATCCTTATGAAATTTGGTACGTCGGATTGATTGGCCAAATATAATACCCATAGAGAGTCCCAACTTCCTAACTTAACAAACAGCAGAGTTATGGCATTTCCGATCAATCAGTTATATGGCAGCTATAGGATATAGTCGGCCGATCCCGGCCGTTCCGACTTATATACTGCGTGCAAAGGAAAGAAGGGTGGGTGCAAAGTTTCAATTCGATATCTTCAAAACTGAGAGACTAGTTCGCGTAGAAACAGACAGACGGACAGACAGACGGACAGACGGACAGACGGACAGACGGACATGGCTATATCAACTCAGGAGGTGATCCTGATCAAGAATATATATACTTTATAGGGTCGGAGATGTCTCCTTCACTGCGTTGCACACTTTTGACCAAAATTATAATACCCTCTGCAAGGGTATAAATATATATTTAACTAGCAAAAAGCTTTTTAATCGAGGTACATAAAAAATGGCTATGTAATTTACATAAGTGAACTATTGAAATAAATATCAAGGTATTGAACACGGTTTCTATATTGGCAAAACCCATTTAGATTTAAAGACATTATTTAATTTATAAGTTATTTACATGATAAACATATCCATATTTGTTGCTTAGATTTAGTATACAAATAAATATATTGATTACATTGAAGGCGAGTAGCTTATTTAAAATATCGATATGATAGAGTTGCAAGGTTTTGTAAATTATTGTTTTATTTACCTTGACTTCTTCATAATAATCCTAACCTATTTAGCGACCCTAATTAAATATTTTGAAACCCTTCTTGAGTTTCACTTTCTTTTTTCCAATTTTTTTCAGGATCATCTGTCGAATTGTTCCTTTTCTATTTTGTTTATTTTCAAACTGAAATGCAAATATAAACACAAATGCGAGCTAAATGACGGTTTAGGTAATTTCCAATCCCCAAAAAACGTTTGGCAAAAAAGAACTGGGCAAAAATGTATGCAAATAGAGGCAGAAAACTAGGAAAACACCTACACAAACAGAGGTGTGGAAGTCCTTCGCCCTTCTCACTCCGACTTGTGGCTCATTTAATTTTCGCACTTTGGCGGATCCGGGGCAGATGTAAAATGGAATTCGGAATAAACGTTGCCATGTGTAGTTGCGGTCGGATTACATGGGAGTGGGTGGGTATCTAAGCCTGGCTGAAATCTAATTTCCAATGTCTGCCAACTCTTTGGAACCCCCTCATTTCTCTCCATTCCAAAGAGCTCCATTGGAGTTTCCCTTTTGCATGACGTAGCAGATTATTTATTGTGTGAGGTTGTTGCTTAACTATTTATGCAGTCTTCTCTGTGTATTTGTGTGCACTGAGAAAAATATACGCTCTTTATACCTTATAATTAAGTTTAACTATTTTGTATTGTTACAAAACTTTGCATTCTTTTATTATTTTTGTAATGTTATGAATATGAATCGAATACCATAAATAATTATTGATAAACAATTCGAGCCTACAAAAAATATGCAAAAGTTTCAGCTTATTGTAAATAATATTTAAATGGCAGTTGAGAAAACATTTTTCAAACATTTCATTAGAAATTGTTTCTACAACAGATTTTATTATATTAATTTGTATACATTATTGTAAACACTTCAGAATTGATAATGTTCAGAAACCTTTAAATCGCTTTAATGCTTTAAATGTAATATTGCCCAACAAAATATTATTTCATACCCATTTTATATTGACAAATATTGTTAAATTAACATTTTGTCAGTGCATAGGTGTGTGAATGTGCTCGTGTCTGGCCTGGTTTGTGTGTCCGCCGCCCCCCAATTGCCCCTGGTCACCACCCCCTCGATTTTCGCATGAGCAACATAACACAACAGGAGAGAAAACAGGAGAGAAACAGGAGCGGAGCACACAACAAAGTCCAGGAGTTGACTTTTATAGAGTCGCATGCACAATAAAGAAGTCTATTATCCTTTTTGCCAGCCAGTTTTGTTGTTGTTGTTGTTGCTGCTGCTGCGACGACGACGACTCCGGGATCGATATCCATTAGGAAAATTAAAATTGTGGCAGAGGCAATGAACGTAAAAAGCGGAAGCAGCCAACCCGGCCAGCCAGTCAGCCCCTCAGTCATTCAGTCAGTTAGTCAGTCAGTCATTCAGCCAGCTAGGCCAACGAAGGTATAAAAAAAGGCAACCCAAAGGTCGACTCTACGTGGA